TGTCCTTCGTCGATGATGTCAAGGCTTGTGCGCCCGAGTATAGAAAGGGAAAGTGCTACTGGTGAAAACTCCTAATATCAAACTGCTTAGCTTCCGCTATGTACTTCCGCAGCCTAAAAAGTGCGAACTGCGGCCGCTCGCTAGGCCTATTGCCCTCGTCCGCAACACGCACGCATGCAGGGCAGGGCGGTATGCATGCACAAATGTGAGGAAACACCTGCGCAAGCTTGCAGCGACGAACAAGGTGCTGGATCGATAAATGCAGAGTCATAAAGCCGATCAATTGAACCAGTAAAAAGGAAGAAGTGTGTCGGACAATGTCAGTGCAACTGAAGCAGCCGAGGCGACCAAGCATTTGCTGCCCATTGAAATAAAAAAGGCTGAGAAGGCGGTTAACTAGTGGCGCATACAGCGCAAACCCAGCAGGCGCAAGCAAGAGTATAAGCCTGCGTTGAAACCTTTCGCTGGCCGCAGTCCTGTGGATGCAGCGGAGACCAAACACCTGCCTAAGCTGTACACGCCAGTAAGAGTGTCTGTTCGGAAGGAAGGAAAGTGTGAATAAAACGCTGCGGAGCGAGGCTCTGCTTGAATAGTATCTGCAGTAGTCGGGTGACACGTAGAGATCACTGCTTTAAAGGGCAACCAAGCCAACGGCCGCAATAGCGACGGCAAGCAGACTCGGGGCAACAGCAGAGGCTGAACCTGTGATGGATGCCTTGATCTTCTTCCACTGGTCTTCGCTGAGCGCAATTCGCCAACAGATGAACAACACACAACATTGTGTTCGCATCCACAAGCCCAGCTCTGTAGCCAACTGTCGTTTTTCCAGAGACGGTTGCCAACTTACTTGAAGGGTTCTGCGTCCGCTGTAAGTGCTTCAGGTGTGGTCATGCACAGTAGAGCATAGCCTGTCTTCCCATCATCAGTGCTTAGGGCGCCTACTCCTGGGGCTTGAGGAGCTGCCGATCGAGTGCAGGTAACGACGCGGCAGTCAGCAGCGGCATTCTCTTGAGGGTTGTACATAGCAACAAAAGAAATGTTCTGCTGTGTCTTGTAGATTGTTGTTTGCTCTTTATTCGCCGGAGGGATTGTAGTGAAGTTGTTGACGGCGTCCTTCCAGTGGCTCACTGCGGCGGCACAGTCGGGCGTCGCCGATTCCAACTCCATGTAGGCGTATGTACCACTTTTAAATCCATTTTGATCTACGCTCTTTCCTACCTGTTCTGCGTCTTCCTGAAATGAAAAAAGCACGGATGAAGAAATGAGACAGCATGAAGTAGAGATAGGGGGACTAGTGACAGAGATCACATTGAAAGACACTTACTGCTGTCAGAGCTTCACAAACAGGATTCCATGCAGTATTGTGCTGTGAGCTTTCAACAGTAGGTGGAGGCCACTCTAGGCCTGCGCTGCTATCCTTTTTGAAGTGTTCGAGTCCAGCGGCTTCGCGCGCAGCGTTGATTTCGTCGAGGCACACATGATCGTCCCCTGCAGAAAAGCAAGCGATGCAGACATCATATGCCCAAATGTACACATGCGGATACTTGCGGATACTTGGAAACGTGGATTGGAGCCATTTAATGCCCTTCAAAGGATTTCTCCGGTTCCAAACCCACTGAACCTCCGGCACAACTCATCGCCTCCAATGCATTTACTTTGGACCACTACAAGGCTGAAACCCTCCCAACCAAACAAGTATTTGCCGATATACCGAGATCTACAGTGTAGGTTGGGGATGATCCCTCCGCTGTCAATGAAGTTTGCTTTGCCGTTTGATGGACAGCGTTCGCCATCAAGAACGCAGACGCAGAGGCG